ACATCGCTGTGAAATCTCACCTTTAGATAGTGTTAACTTTGACTGTCAAGCCCCCACATCAAGTTTTTACTTTTATTTTTAAATGACTGCAAATTTTCCCTTAAATTATAAATACATAATATAAATAAAGCTTCACTTTACATTTTCAAATTAAGTAAAAATCTACCATCAAACAGCATACCGTAATTTGCAATTACTTATCAAAATAACCCCTGTAACCGTCTTATTAAGCACTCTGCGTGGGCTCGACAGGGCAAATAATGTCGTTTGTTTCTGTATGCATCTGCAACGGTTTCTACTACTAACAATAAATTTGCGCATTTATGTGTGTCTCTGAAAACGGCGGCTATAATTGAAGCGTGTTAAAAGCTGAATTTATGGAAACTTTCTAACTAAATTGGCTGGCATTTCCCATATCTCTGATAATTGCACGGTTGGGCTCCTTTAATTCAATGAAAAACGCAAACAATATTGATAAGACAGAGGAGTTCTCAATTGCCGTCTGTTAATGTGGGTCACAGAAACTATTTTATTTAAGTATAGATAAGAAAAATTAGCTTTTACGTTGCAATTTTTTTCAAGAAAGACTACTAAGCTGGCTTAGAAGTTCCAAGGCAGCAGTCGTGATGGCCACAATTGGGCACAATGATTCTTAATCAGAAGAGCATATAATTAGGGAGTACGTTAATTAAGTGATATTCGTGAGCTTGCTTTCAAATGGACTTAAATCAAGTAATACGAACTTTTTCCTTTTAGATATATGTAGTAATTAAATGTATTAATACTTGTAATTAATTGTCTGACATTTAGCGTTATTGTAATTTTCGCGTTTGATTCTTTTTGCCAGAAGGTAATTGTACTGATTTAACATTATGAGCTGGTGCATGCTAATCTATAATTTTATAATGAATGACACGAAAGATTTATGTAAATTCATATTTTTCCAACTTACCGATAACCATCTATTTTTATTTATATCTTACGAAAGAATCATGCATTTATTTTTGTAGAATAATGGAATGAATTATCATTACAAAGCACAACAGTGAATTGAATTTTAAAACTAGTTACATAGTAAAATAAACAAATATGGGAGTTCCTGTTTTTAAATTCTTTACTTCAGTTAGAAATCATTGTTCCACATCCTAATTCAGTTTTATTGATGTTCCGCTATTATTTTACTATTCTTATTATGCTTTTATTTTCGCCGCCACAATGTTTACAAACAGCTTTGTGCTTTAAAAACATAAAATTCTAAAACAAACATTTTTACTACACCTCAATTTTCTAATAAAAATAAAAAAGTATCCGCTCTAATAGTTTCACAATTTCACAATAACCCCAACGTAACAATTTCCTTTGTTTTTTAATTTTCGAGGAATAAAAACTCCATAACGAGAAAAATCTTGATAGCAACTATCGATACAGTAAAAATTAAATTTTCTGGTAAATTGTTAAATTGTTTACACGTAAAACATTTTTGTGAACAGGTGTACCTTGACCTTAATAACACAATGTAGACATAAAATTCCACTTTTTTGTCAGTTAAATCCGGGTGTATTTTTTAAATAATTTACACAGTACAGTTTACAAAAATAGCGCTTCAATTCATAATATTATAGCATTCTAAAAATTGTATAAATTTTAATACATAATGCACAGTGTTTCCGAAGTAAGTCAGAACACACATCGACTCGCAGGTGCAACTGATTTGATTCCATTTCTCACAAGTTAGTACTCTGCTAGTTATGCAGTGTTTTCCGAGTACTAACTCTTACTAATATGGATACAAAAGAGTTTCATACTTTTCCATTACGCTTCTAACTTGTATAAATGATGTCTCATCGTTATCTGTTATACACTAATGTCTAAATTAAGAAATTGTGGTAATATCTGACACAAGAATTATCCTTGTAATCAACAACCTGTGGATTGTAAAAAAAACTTTACGAGTCACTGCCAAAATTTTCATTTAACATACATTCCTAGTAATGCAGAGTTGCAACTCAAGAAATTATTCATTTAAAGTAGATCATGAAAGATATTTTCAATAAAATATGAGTAAACTTTAGTTTTTTCATGTTCTCCTTACAACTGCTACAAGAATGATTTACGCCTTCGGTTTTTTTCTCGCATTTTATATTTGCACCAAATGATTATTTCTAATAATATACAGAATCTCTTGTTGCCAATAGTATGTATAAAGTGCCTCGTTCAAATAAAATTTTGGGAAAATTTTAATACAATTTCCACATTTGTTGTTTCGAAAAACTTTTAAAGAAATCGTTTTCAGTTTTTTTTATTCACATGCAGCATATCCACATATTTAATTTACCTTTTATCTTAATAAACTATGCGTTTTTAATATTTATACATCACTAATTAATTACATCAAAATATTTTTTCCATTTAGCTGATATCTTTATAGTTTAAGGTCTAAACCATATACTCCTCTTACATGCTCTCCCATCTCTTTTTACAGAATTAATTACCGTTCATATCTTTGATGTGCATAATTTAAATGAATCAACACCACTTTTTATTATTTTCATTTTCGCTGTCTAAAACAAACAGTTAAAAATTTGTTTTCGCGTAGGAAAGTAACTGTTAAGACTGAGTAGAAAAAAAGTAGATGAGATGGTAATAAAAATTCCAAGTTTAGTGTCGTAAATTGTCGTCAAATTGGTTACAAGATCATTCCATAAATTTTCGAAAATCATAACCGCACGAAGAGTTTGGATCTCATTGAAATTTATGCATATAAAGGGACAACTTCAGCTATAAAATACCTTGATTGCAACCATTCGACAGTTTTAAAATTTGCTAGCGTCGCCACCACGAATAAATTTTATAGATATTTGTAACTACATAAAAAAGCTTTAGTGATCAATTCATTAAAAGGGGAGCATGCTGAAAAAAATCTCTGTCTGGAATACCACCGTGGTCTGGAATTACCTCTTCTCGGGAGAAGCAATAAATCGCCGAGGTTAGTACAAAAAATATACATATATATTTCTATTTTACCAAAGAAACTATAGATCTTAAAAACACTTTATTTTTTACATTGATCCCCATCCGCAGTCACATTTTGTTAAAAAAAACACCTTTCACATATCTTATAATCTGTATAGTACCTAAATACCTATAAATAGTAAATTTGTAGCATAATTTTGCATAAAAAAATTGTGCATTTTATTTTTAGTAGTTTTGCGTGTTACAAGAACTGAAGTACGTAACGTAAATATGCGACTTTTTTAAGACTCTCAAATGACCAACATTAAAAACTGTTTGAATAACAAATAAAAGCTTCCTTTAAAAGAAAGACACTTTTTTTACCTTTTTAATACATGTATACAATGTGCGCTTGACATAAGAAAAACGAAATGTTTGCCAAGTAATTTTTTTTCCAAAATTCTAAAACAATCATTTTTTGGACAATACACAATTTACGTCAAGTTGGCGAGAGTAGACCTTTTAATTATATGAAATATGGACAAAAATCTTTAAATATCTCACACGAAATTTTTAATGGTGATGAAACTCGCCTTTAATATTCAAAGTGTTGTTAGAAAGACATTCTTATGAGACCTATGTTACTATGTATTTATACAATATTACTCGGAACTAAAAAATTGTAAAAATGACACGTTGTTTTAACTATCTGTTTTTCAGATTAGATACATAAAGATACGTATTAGATAAGAACTATTGTAACAGGAATTTTCGTAGTTTTGTAAAAAATCAGTATTTATATCATATCTATACTTAAACGGTTCATAGAATCCTTACAAATAACACAAATATAGATTTTCGACGTTTCTTAAAAGAAACATTTTTTGGACAGTTTGCATAGAAATACGATTTCAGAAACTGAAAAAACGTCTTTTTGGTGGCTATTTTCGCTAATCAAATAAACATACGAAGAGTAATACTTTTAGTTCTGAAAAAACAGTTCACTTCGGAACAATGACGTTTTATGGTCCTGAATCCGACAAATTAGAAACAACTTCTGAAGTTGTTAGATACACTGGTTTTGAAACAAGCAAACCAACCATTTTGTTGTTGTCAAGACAGATGCAGCCCATTGAATAAGTCAAAAAGTCACAACCAAAAAGTATTTTATATGGATTTTTTTTTGTAAATTGCTTGAATGGAGACAATGAAGGCGATAAAGGAAATACTCTTCTTAAAACAACTAAAACCTCAAATGCTACCATCGAAATAACTCTAGAAAAAAATTAATTCACCTGATTTAGTTCCATTAGATTATTATCTATTCCACAAATTTAAAAAAAATAATTTTCAAAGGGCAACTTTTCTTCAAAAGAGATGATAATAGATGTTGTTGAAACGTGGTTTGCAACCAAAACAAAGTTTTTTTGAAGGTGGTAAAAATAACTTATCAACGTGCCAAGAGTTACAAGGAGTTTACGTTCACTGAATTACAATTAATTTTCATTTTCAAATGTTTATCAATAAACTTTTAATAAAAATTCAACAATACATACATGATACATCAACATCCAATTTTGCAACTTTTATGTATACAACTCAGAAATCTTTAGTTTTTAATAACTTTTTTATCACTGCTTGTTTTAATTAGATAATTAACGACCGCCAAAAATGTATACCTCACGTCCGGAAGGTTCTTTACTAGACTCGCAGGCTACAGGTCTTAAGCTTTGCTTGCTCATTTAGTAAAACATAACTTTCCGCGCTAGTAATATAAAAAAAAGTGCTTCTTAAGCATTGTATTTAGGATACACACATTACTGAAACTGCAGTTGCCAGTGCAAACTGCACAATGCTGTGATATTTTGGGAGCTATGTCAAAATCTTTTAGCTGTAGAATGGCTGCGAATTACACAATTTGAAGGTTGGGCCTTATTTTTCACTTCTGCTACACTTTGTACACTATTATCGATTTTGTGCATAAACAAACAAGAGGGCGGAAAATTAGTTCTTGTATTGATCTTATCAACTAAGCAAATGATCCTTACCCCATCCTGTTTGTTTCTATCCTCCTCGGACTCACTACATTCGTTCTTTTTGATTCGTTTGCACTTATCGAGGTCGAGGAGGTCTTCGCCGTCGCTTTGAAGTTTTCGTTTCTGCTCGATCGACAGTTTGAGTCCAGCTTTGATAAGTTGAGAGCATGTCTGTTGGACGCTGGGCGGATTCGTGGTCGGCGATTCCATCTGACTACTGCTGGAACTATTGGAATCGCTCGACAGATTCGTGGGAGGCTTCGACGACGTCTTCGTCGTGTTGTTTCCGAACGAGTAATTATCCATCGGATTTGTCATGGCTATGAGCGAATTCAGGATCTCCGGAGTACGGGGTGTAGCCGTACTATCCACTAGGATGTTTAATCCTGCGGCGCTGGCGGCCGTCGAGGCCAAGTTTACGTTTAAATTATGCATAATATCACGGGTTTTACAACTAGATCACAATCAAACGCGAGGAAGCTCGCACTCTTAAATTAATAAATTAAAAACGTCTGTGTCTTGGTTAAGCACCTGTTATCTTTGGGCAACTTCTCGCGTATGGTTCAGGCAATCCACTATGGGTGACGGCAATCTGAAACAAATAATGTACTTATGAGTGTTAAGATTTAATTGGAATTTGTTTGTGCGGAGGTTACGATTACCCATCTTCATTTTTTAATAAATAATCGTTAAATGTCAGGTGCTATTGCCAAATAATAATTAAAGCTCCATCTGTAAGAGGTTTCAGAAATTCGAGACGAAAATTGTGCAACTTAAATGGACGTCCTTCGCTTAAGTAATTCATGAATATTCAGCATTATTTACAATAAAATCAATTAAATAAGATGATAACGGAACTTGGAGTACAGGTAAACGCGGAAACGTCAGGCTTGATGTATCATGGATGCGCGAGCAATTTTCCAAAAGAAAAACCTTCTTCAAAGCTGACCCATTTCGACGGGCGTAAAATGTTTATGTGCAATTAAAGCCAGGCCTAATAAACTGTCTGGCAAACGAATTAATTTAGTCCAAATTGTTAGGAATACCATTCGACTAAAGTTAATTACCACATCCGGTCGGATAGCCGCGCGAATACCACAATGGAACAGAAATTTATAAAAACGTATTTCGTAACGAAATTGTGTACATGCTACAAATCTACATGAAAATGTAACTTTTTAGCTGAAAAGGGTGCGCGCGCATGCCGCGTTCATTCATTAAATCATTGTGTTTATGAGCCACCATTTACATAAATTTGCCACCGAATTTGCATAAAGCAATAATTAGGAATTAATTCCATTTAGATACTTGGGTGGCACGAAGGATAATGTCGCATTTACATGCTTTTACTTGTGCCGCCTGCCAAAGCGTCGACGCGTCCCTTGGCCCACTTTGGTCCACCTGCCCAATGCACTTCCTTTTACGGCAATAGGGGAACTGGCATTGCATCAAAAATAAAAATTTAAATTTTAAACATAAATATATTGTTCCAAATAAATTTTCAAAGCTATTTTAAAATCATTAATAAATATTTATGTTAATCTTAATTATTGCAGAATTTTGAAAAAACTAATCTGAACCTCAAAAAAAAAACAAACAGCTAATCTCAGTTTTACGCCTTAAATGAAATTGAAGACTACAATTATTTAAACAATTTGAATCATTTTATAATTTATCTTTGTTGATAATTAATCAATTATTTTATTATCAATATTAGTTTTAAGGCTCTATAAATTACATATTATAAAGATACAAAAAAAAACGTATAATACAGAACAATTAAAAAAATAAAATAGAAAGTTACATGCAGGGTCGCTAAAAAGTATAAAAGCAGTTGAATATCGCGAGAACGGTTTGTTAAACTTTTTTGAAATTTGGCCTGTCCCTAGGAATACTCAAGTTCTATTTTCTGCAATTTTTACAAATTACCTCATTTGTTTTGAGATGCAGAGCTAACTTGATTTTGTTTTAATAGTCCTAGTAAGTAGTTTAATGTTCCGTTTTTAAATAATGCATTCTTTTCTAAATTCAGAAATGTAACGCATGAATTATTTTATTATAAATGTATTCTAGAAATAAAATTACTCCGATTTAATGACTGTATATAGTGAATACATTGTTATGAAAGCTTTTTGAAAAATTTAAATAAAGAACTTCATTATTGAAAAAAGATCAAATTAACATTTAAAAAACAATAATTTTACAACAAATGTTCTCCATTTACTTCCTGGCAATAGTTGCACAAAGTAGTCAAATGAATCTGTTAGAATATTAGGAGGAATATCAGCAATCACATTTAATATTCTTTCTTGGAGTTCTTCGATGCTTTGTGGTCTATTATTATTAACATAAATTCGATTTTTTACATAATGCCATAGAAAAAAGTCAAGTGGGGTTAAATCGGGTAACCTAGCTGGCCACTCAACTGCTCCCCTTTGTCGTATATACCTTCCAGGAAAAGTTCCATTCACTGCCGTACTTGAAGTCCGTAGTGAGTTGGTGCTCCATCTTGTTGGAACCAGATAAGACTGTGCAGGTAGATTTGGGTTTTCATAATTGGGAAATATTTGTCTAAATCGAAGAATACTTTGTTGCAAAAGTTGGAGGTATTTGTTACACGTTAAATTTCCATTAATGAAGACGGGGACTACAATGTGGCGACTAATAAATGCATCTTGTAGTAAATGAATTTTGTATGGATGATATTTTTGAGTATTTTTTTAACTGAGCCTCAACTTATAATGTGGTTTAATGACAATTGCTGCATTTTTAGTTACATCTAACTTGATATTAGAAGAGTTCTCCTTATTTGTAACATTTTTTGGTCTAAGATTATCAGTTTCGTTAAATCTGCGCAATGTTTTTGAAACCGTCGACCTAGAGAGATTCTTGATTGGGATGATTTTCATTAAAAAGTGCTGCTACTTCAGTATTGCTTCGATGTCTGTCGCCATAGCCTACCATCATCAATTTATATTCAATCAGTTCTGTTAATGGTGCCATTTTTGGTGTTTTATTGAAATATTTTTAAACCTAGATGTAGAAGTCTGTTTTTCAGCATACACTGACAAATCAATGACAGTATATATTTTCAAAGCCAACTACAATTTTATATTTTAGATTTTCTTTATCGTTTTAGTTAAAGGAGTGTATGCATGTATTACAGTACTGAATACAGGAAAAATCTTTTATTCAAAAATTGACGATTTGACTAGTGGTGTTATTTAAAAAAAATCAAGTTAGCCTTGCATCTTGAAAACAAATAAGTTTAAACTTTAAAAAAATTACAGAAAATAGAGCTTCCAGTATAGCCCAAATTTCAAGAAGAAGCAACCCGAGATATTTAACTGTTTCCATATTTTTTAGTAACCCTGTATATTATATTACACTTGAAAATCCACAAAAATATTTTTGAAAATACCATAATATTCAAACAAACTTTTAAATTTTCTCGAAAGTGGAGATGGTTTTTTAGATTCCTTCTTAGTTTGTAAGTATTTGTTAGAGTACTACAGTAGTACAAGTAGTACACAAATATTTTTGTACTTTGAAAATGGAAATTCTGAATTCCGCGCGAAAAAACAAGACTTTTTTAATAACATTTTATCTGATACCAATTTTTAACGGCTCTCAAACATCACAAACGTAAGTAATAATAAATTCAAGCGTAATTCCAAAAAAAGTCGTTATTTAATAGTAACGTAATTTTTTTTAAACTATGTAATCCATTATGCTATGTGTATAGTACACTAAGGACTAGTGGATTTACTCCTTAACACTATTTTCACAATCTGAAATTTTACAACTTAATTGGAATTTTGATGGTTTGATTTTTTCTTTTTGGGAATATTTTAACAAAAAAAGAAAAATATATTAAGTTTAATAAAACAAAAAAGAGCATATATGTGTATAAAATCCAGATTTTAAAATGAGTCACTGAATAACTACACAAATCTACGAATATAGTTTGCACACAAGCTTGAAATTTTCGAAAGCAGAAATGTTGTACAATTAAAAATTATTGTGATTTGCTCAAACTTGTGTTATCTACAGAGACCAATCGACTTGTAGTGAATAAAATATTTCTATTGTAGTTATACAATTCAGTTCAAAGAAAAAAGACATAAACAACATAACTTATCAGTGGTGCCAGCATTTTGGTAAATATTTTGACAACATTGTCTCGTTACTGGTCGATAGTTATTCTGGTTTTTTAATATTAACAAGTGACGAATTATTTAGAAGAATAACTCAAAAATAGGTTGCTAAAATAATTCTTTTCCTACTCTATTTAAAAAATGTCGAACTACAGTAATTTATAGATTTTATTTTTACACATGGATAGAACAAAGATTTCTAAACAATTAAAAAATACTTAAATTTTTATCAAGTCAAAATACACACAATAATAATATAAAGAAGAAATAAATTTCTATTTGTATTTACATCATAATACTATTTTTGAGGACGATACGATTATTATTAATATCCACTATGTTGCTTAGAATAAAAAATTCTGAAATATTAAGAATAGATGATTATTTAAGATTACTATTATTCAAATTGAAAGGACTGCATTTGAACATTTTAAAAACAACATTTTAAAAACAAATATTTTATTTGTAATATTACCTAAATTACACAATGTTTTATTTTAATTTTAATTTTGTAATAATAAATCTCCCTTAATCAAATTTCAAAAATTAAAAACTAAAAAAATGTTAATTAACCTGAATAACATCAAAGACCAAAAGTTGTGAATATTGAAAACCAATGTTTTTTTCATACCATGTTGTGATCCAGCTTTATGGGTCGAGCTCGTTGCGCAATGGTGCCATTTCTGGGTGGGTAAACAGGACAAGACATTACGGTCTCATCATCATTAAACATAAACATACAAATGTTTGCCATTAAGTTCAACACTGAAATTCGATACACTTGAGAGAAAAGCGAAGCCACGACTTTTGCAATAACGGAACGATACTTTTCGAAATTTTGGACCAGAGACCGCTTTATTTATAGCTTTATTATTAACATCGCGTATAAATAACAAGAAACACATCTGCTGGTCGAATTATAGCCGGACATAAACAAAACGTAAAATGATTCAGATTCACGAATTAAAAAAAAGCCAAAATACGTTCATTCAGTTGTCTTGGCAAAACTTCGGATGTGGCAACGTCAAAACATTATTTAAAACTCCGAATACACAATAAACAAAAATTAATTGTACCAGTTTACACAATCGCGGAATCGTGTACCACAAACATCAAAGAAGTGTGATAAGCAAAAATGTGTCAGCGGAACATCCGCTTAAACAGAGGAAAATTGTAGCGAAACGCGACTGACTTGAGGGGGGTCTTGATCTGATGGAGTGCCGATATTGATTAGATTTTATCGAATAGGGTGGTAGCTGTAAACACATTTTTATTTAGCGTATCAGGATTAAATATATCCATGACTTCATTATTATTTTAATAAATCTCGAAGTACTCGATAAGCGATATGGAGCTTTATCAGTGTTATCTTTGTGACGTTTTTATTTATCGTTATGATTAATCGTGGGGGGCAAAGCAGGGAAACAAGATCACTATCGGTAAAAACTGTGAATATATGAATTTCAAGGTGGATTGCTAAGAACTGTGGGAACGAGTGTTGGCGGAATCGTAAGAATTTGGTCTAATCAATCAGTTTTCTAATTGGACTTGAAACATTCAGAACAATCTCCTCAAGGATTACTCAACAATCAAATACACCATTAGTTTTTTACGCTGTTGCCATAACCGTCCATCATTATTTAACACATCTTTCAAATAAAAATAAACATAAACAAGGATTGAGCAAGTAAACGTGCTAATAACTAATGGCTTGTGAGTAATTTATTCACATCTACGATTATTTACGAACATTGTGTAAAATAATTTAGCCGTTTACCAACAAAACAAGCTTTTTACTTAAAAAAAAAAATAGCGACGCTATTAATTACCACGTCATTACTCGATTGCTTTCAATTTTAGTTCGTCCTTGCGGACCAGGAAAAACTGTACCAAAAGCTTTCGTGTCAACTTTACCTAAATTATCCAAAGTAATTTACAGCGCCGTAACGAATTTATAGAGCATCGTAAATGCGAATAAAATCCTGAAATAAAATAACCATACATGTTCATGCTACCAATGAGCGGCAATAAATTGTATTTAGCGGTAATTTTTAAGGCGAGCCCCTCGCGGTACGACCTTTTATCACTTGACCTATTTTACTTATGCGATTTTTAACATGGTTAAACCCACCTTCATTAAAACCAGAATGCGATGGTTCTGCCGATTTTTTATCCGCTATTTTTGCAACAGATGGCCCACTTTTGCCGGCGTCTTGAATCATGGCTCACAGCTAGGGTGGGCCAAAACCGCAATGATTTATACCACATAAACCTATTACTTTCAAATATTCAAATTTCCACAGGCAGATCCGTTTAGCGAGTGCATCGCACCAAAAAGGGAACGATTACGAAATCCTGCAAGTTATTAGTTTAGTGCAAGAATAATATAAATTACAAAGGCACCGCTGCGACGTGAGCTGCATCCGATTTAAACGGCTCTAATTAACATTTTAACGAGTTTTCACCATGTGGAAAAATGGCGGGCGCTAGGGTACGTGTGTCAGTTTTAATTGGCCGATACTTTTACTGGCCGAAGTTCCTTACTGGTACTTCCTGATGGTGTAAGTTCTGAGTGACCTTTCGATTGCACTTCGCAGATATTTGAGTAGTTATAGTAATGGATAAATTAAACTTGTCGTGATTGGCAGTCTGATGGATTGGCAGGCAAATATTTACAATGTGCCAAGAGAAATTTTAGCCGTTATTAACAATTAAATGTGAATTTTAATTTGCTGCTTGGTCGTGAAATTTTGTGAAGCTTGACCACTTCCTGGATGTGTTTCGAGCTGCTACCGCCTTTGCGGTATGCAAATATTGGGTTTTAACTTGAAGGATCTTAGTAAGAAAAGAAAACGCTTTGTACACACTTTGTATACGAGTGTCAACATGGTATCAACAGATGTTTTAATCCGTTTGAAAATATTTCAAAATACTGTGGATTTAAATTCACGCGCTAAAAGCTTAACAATAATTTATTAGTGCATGCCACTATGTATTCATTTTAACGCTGTTTATGTCATTTGTTCTAAATATAAAGTTTACAAATTTATTACGTTTCATCTTCAACAGTGCTCCAAATTTTGAAAAACTGCCAAACACATGAGGCAAAAATTTTACTCAAAACGCTATTAACCTTTGTTATTAAGAGTGAAAGTTATTTTGGCTTCTAAGTTACTGCAAGTGTAAGCCCGCGACGACATTATTGGCCATTACCATCTTTTGTTGTTTTTTTGTCACAGTTGAGTTGCGACCGCAAATTTCTTTCTTCGTATAAAAATATTTTCAATAAAGAATAATGCATACGTATTACATATAATAAAAAAGTATTTCGATATTTATTTAACACACATTTCTGGGCAAATGTCATGCTGTTTATTGTGTGGTATGTTACCATCAACATAAACAAGAAATTTCAAAAAATAATACTACAAAATCAGGGTTAGGTCAAGTTGTGATTACAAATACGATGTTACACACCGGAACCTTGGTGGTAACATATCTGATCTGAAATTTCTTGGTTGGCTGTGGCATGAATTTGCACAATTTAGACATACTGTTCAAATATATAGTAAAAAGTACAAAAAATCGTCTTAAGTAAACTCGAGCTTAAAGTGGACAGCCTTCACAAGTTCACATACAACGTTTGTGTGTTGAGGGTATGAAATTTGCGCAAAAATTATCATACATAACAAAATTTAAAAAAATACTTTCCTGTAAAAAACGTCGAATGATGATGAATTAAAAAGGCGGTTATATGAAAGAAATGTTTTCTGTGCTTTACACAAACTGTCGTCAGGAATGAAGTTCAGTTTAAAATAAATCATCTGTTGCTTTAAAACTTGTATATCTTTTAATCTTTTAATCACTCGGTGCACTATATTGTATTTATCCTCACAACATGGACGACACAAAGTATTTGTGAGTTAAACTCAGTTTAGCTTTGTCTAGATAATGCAAAGTGGTTGGCGAAACGCGTGGACAATATTTTTTGTGTTTTCGATGTTGTGGGGATAAACGTTATATCAAAAATTGTATGTTAATATTTCTGTCACATTTGACTCTATAAGCCACAGGGTAATAAACAATTTATTTTTAACACTAGCCAAAATGGCCATGATTTAAAATTTGAAATTAATATAAAAAACTAACGCTTTGCAATAGAATCATCTTTTTTTTTATTTTTTTATAATAATCCTAATGACATATTTATTGTTAACACTTTAAGAATCACAAATTTTTGTTCACTTTTATATTGCAATCGTAGTGACAAATTATTATTTATCGTTGACACTTTTAATCAGGTAAATACAATTTGAGCTTATAGATAACCACGAGAGAATTATACTCTAGTAAATTGGTTTTAAATTAATCATTAAGAATCTAACATAATATTATAACACCACATCGGACATGCATCATACCAAGAAATATTATAGAAGTATAACTAGATATTAACATTATGGAAGTTTAAGCTTACAATATAATAAAAAAAAAGAATTATTTAAGTATAATTACAAAAATATTTACTCCAAATTTTGAAAACATTTTCGTGATTTACAAAATCATAAGAAGAATACTTACTACAACGGTTGCTGTTAATAATTTGGTATGCAAATGGGTAAAGATATTTGAAAGGCACTTGTAAGATCTAGTAAAATAAAGTTGATCTAACATTAAATTCTAACATTAATTAATAAAGAAAACTGAGTCGTACTTAAAAACAGAACACCACAGTTGTTATTATTACTACAAAAATAGTGTTGTAAAATAGAAAACTATTACTAATTATATACTTATGTGTTTAAAAAAATATTCATAGTGATAGACCACTCTATAAATCAAAACGTGTTTGCACATCAACAGCAAAGCTTAATTAATACTGAAACATGTTGATTCACTTTATACAGGACTTTGAGCCGTAAGCTTTTCTTGGTAATTCGGTTAAATTAAAAATGTTCCGACATTTTGAAACACTATCTTTCAGCTTAAGCTGAGTTTAAACTATGATAAGATTAAAAGACTTTTTAATCATAAATATACAAGACTTCGCTTACATTTGCATTGCCATTTTAATTCCGACAGCGATAATTTTAAATTTGGCATTTCCTTGCAGGTTTCCTCGCCACGCGAAGTGATTTTTATTCCTTTGATAAATTCGCAAGATTAGGTTTTTTTCCTAATGTAATTTACAAAGATAACCTTGAGATATCCGTGTTTTTCTACGGCAAATCGGAAAACACTCCAGACAAGTTTACAGCGTTAGATTTACTAGCATGGACTTAATCCATAGTACACACTACACAATTAACGCTGTTGATAGTGTGAATCATTTCGTCAAACATATGTCTTAATAAAGTTGTACCATAAAATGCACAACCTACCTGAGGAAAAGCTTGCAAAGAGCCCAGAGCGGGCCCCCTTGGTCTTTAGAGTAATGTTGCCATTTATTTGCTCTAGCGCTCGTGGAACGGTTAAACTGAATAATAATTGCGATCAGAATACTAATCCCATCAAAAGCATAAATAAAAGATTTTAGTTTACAAGGTTTGATCAAGTTTAAGATGTTTCTTTTCGGCAACGTTTGCCGGAACGAGAAGATCATATAAGACCGAAGACCTCTAATTCGACTTTGCATGTATAATAGAGAATTTGGATAAAATGAAAGGCCTCATTGTTGGACCTTGAGGAGCGTCGTAAATAGCAACAATTGTGAAGATGAGGGTTATCCTTTGATTTATCACCTGTTTTTGCTCAAAGACGGCTATATCACAGAGTTGTAATTACTCGAGCTTTTTGCGGTCAAGGTTTTTCTAACAAGTCTCCACATAATTACAATTGTTATGACCCATTAAGAGTGCAGGAATTCATACCAAAACCTCAAAATTCTCCTAAATCCGGTTCGAAGGATCAAAACAAATTAGTCGACCATTAATTGTGTTAATGGGCTGT